CTCAGCGGATAGAGTGCTGGGGCTGGAGGCAGGAAAACCTGAGTTCAAATCAGCCTCAGTCACTTCCTAGCCGTGTGCCTCTGGGCAGGTCACTTAACCTCTGCCTAATCCACTGCAGAAGGAAATGGCAACCACTCGACTACCCTTGCCAAGAAAGCACCATGGCCAGTACTGGCGTATTTTGGTTCCTGGGTCACAGAGAGTTGGATACGACTGAGTGGCAACAACAGTGGGGACCAGTCACGGTCCTGTCCTCAGGGTGAGGCGGGGAGGCCTTGGGTCTTGGGCAGGGCCCTGAGTTGGGGTCCTGGGCACCTCGACTTAGTAGGGACCCAGCTGGTCTCTACAGAGGCCCAGGAGGGGCGCATGTGCTGAAGGGCACCAGATTCGAGCCCCACGCTCAGCCTCGTGCTGTCATGCTGCCGGACCTTGTGTCGGCCTGGGGGACGTCTCTTGCCCTCTCTGGGCTTCGGTTTCTTCGTCTCGAAGGTCTCAGGCCAGTTCCAGTTTTTAGGACCTGGATGCAAGAAGTTAAAAACAGGAGGTGCCGTGTGATCAGGGAAATGGATAGGCTTTAAGTGTAGGTCAGGTGGTGATTGATGGGTGATGGTGAGGAATAGTTAGGGAGGAGGGGTGTTTGCTCCAGCTTTGAAAGCGCCTGTGTGGGGAGGGGAGCGTTTGAGTCTAGGGCTGGGAGGGGCTGGGCCTTCTCAGGACGGGGGCCAGGCTGTCCCTCCAGGCCAGGCTTGGGCTCAGTCTCTTGGCTTTCTCATTCGTTCTGCTGGGAGCCTGAATCGTGAAGCCCTGGTGGAGAGGCTGTCCCGGGCCTCCCCTCCCCCAGGCTGCTGCTCCGGGCCTCTATTCAGCCCGCTCCATGGCTCTGCCTCATCCCAAGTGCATCCTGACCAGCCTCCTGGACTGTGCCATGTGTGGAGGCCTTTGGGTCCCAGAGAAATGGGGGAGTGGTGCCTGATGGCCAGCCCTGTGTTCCTCCTGGCCCAGGCTCCCAGTCCCCCCTTTGTGCCAAACACTGGGCTGCCAAGTGCTGGAGACAGACCCATCTGGTCTGCTGGTCCACCCTCCTAGCATGTCTCAAACGCCCCCCTGTCCGTTCTTTCTGCCTCTAGTAGATGTAGCTGGGGGTGCCACAGTGCGCAGAGCGCTGGACCTGATGTCTGGAAGTCCTGAGTTCAAATGCCGCCTCAGACACTTACGCGGTTCCGTGTAACCCTGGGCAAGTCACCTCACCTCTGTTTGCCTCAGTTTCCTGAACTGTAAAATGAGGATGGCGACAGCCCTCCCTCCCAGACTTGTGATGATGATGTCATGCGTGAGCCCCGTGGAGCCTCAGCTCCTCCGCAGCTGGAATCATTTCATTCTCTGTACTTGTGTCCCCAGCATGCAGCAGTGCCTGTGTGCCTGGCGCATGGTAGGTGCTTAATAAGTGTTTATGGCTCGGTTGAGCCCCCTTCAGGGAAATTAGGTCCTCAGGGTTCCTGTCTGATGGAGGAAAGGAAGATAAAGGGAACTGCTGTCTTTCTGCCTCCGTGTCCCAATGTCTGGGGAATGGGGAGAGGACCAAGTCTTCCAACCTCTGTCCCTTTTTGGTTCAGTTCAGCGGTCATTTGTTAAGTGCCTACTATGTGCTAGCAATTGTGCTAGTTGAGGGGAGGATGGGGGTGGGGGAGAAAGGATATAAAAACCAAGATGAAACAGTGCCTTCCCTTATAGAGGCAGCTGGCTGGGCGGTGCAGCGGGTAGAGCACAGGGCCTGGAGTCAGAAAAACTTGAGTTCAAATTTAGCCTCAGGCACTTACTGGCTGTGTGACCCTGGACAAGTCACTTGAGCGCTGCCTGCCTCAGTTTCCTTCTCTGTGAAATGATAACAATAGCGGCCTCTACCCCCCCAGGCTTGTTGTGAAGATAACAATGAGGTGATACTGATAAAGTGCTTTGCAAACCTTAAGTGATATCAGTACTAGCTATTATTATTATTATTGTTGTCATTGTTATTGCCATAGAGCAGCAGCATGGGCACAGATGCACAAATGAATAAATACAAAGCACTTTGATTTGGGAAGGGGAGGTCCCCAGGGCCCAGCCAGGCACCAGCTTCTCCTGCTTCCGCTCTGGGCCCATCACAATCTTGTCCCATTTCTACGTCTCGGGAAGATCTTGGTTTCAATTCTTGATTTTGAGGTGAGGTTGGGAGGCTGATGGAGACCTCTTCAGGGCCTGCCAAGGGCTGCCCGTGGGCAAAGCGCCTGAAAGCCTCATGTTGGCGGGGGGGCGGGGGCAGGTATGAGGAAAAATGGTGGCCTGGCAGGTGATTTTGATAGAGCGGCTTTGGATGGAGGCCCGGTTCACCCAGAGACCTATGTCTGCATCCTGATCCCGTAGCCAGAGTTTGCACTCTGGAGCGCACATAGTGTGGCTGCAGCCTGTCCCCCTATCCCACCCCCATCCAGGGCTGAGTGGGAGCCGATTCTTTTCATTTCACAGTCCTCCATAGGTAGGGAGGAAGGGCTTGGCTCCAAACTCAGACTTACTGAATGGACGAAGGAAGTTGTGGGCTGGGGTGAGTGAGAGAGGGATGCCAGCTGGCCAGCAGTGGGAGGGCAGAGGGGCGCAGCTCTTTGTGGGTTGGGGGATTGGCCATCAGGGAACGGCCTCCCTCCCTTCCCTTCCTCTGACGTGGGACAGTAGGCACCTGCTGTGTGCTGTGATGCCAAGAAGGGGTATGTGTATGTGTGTGTACACACATACAATCTTTTTTTTTTTAAAAGGCATTTGGGGTTAAGTGACTTGCCCAGGGTCACACAGCTAGTAGGTGTCAAGTGTTTGGTCTGAGGCTGCATTTGAACTCAGGTCCTCCTGAATTCAGGGCCGGTACTCTATCCACTGTGCCACCTAGCTGCCCCACATATACAATCTTTATATACACGTCTATGCTATATGCACATAATATACATACGGTATTATTTTAAATAACATTTGTAAAGCACTTTGCACACCTTAAGGCCCTTAGATAATTACTATCCACTATTCTTGTCCTTCCCCTGGTCGCAGGCCTTGAGGGCAGGCTCCCTTTACTCCTTGCTTTTTTTTCCTTCCAGTACTTGGCACCCCGGAAGTCTTGTTGCTTGGTGCAGTCACGTCCTCTCTGGGCCTCAGTTTCTCATCTGTCCTAGCTGATCTCTTAGGATCAGCCAAGCAGGTGCTGAGGAAATGGAGATTCCAGGAGCAGAACCCAGTAGAAGGGGGACTGCTGGTTGTGGGGTGAGGTTGGGTGTTCCTTGAGGGGGATGCCTGCTTTTGAAAGGGCCCCCATTTGAACCTGCCTCTAGAGGTCTCTTATGGTTTGGGGATGCCCAGGCGCCCTGTCCACTCACCGCCAGCCTCAGGGTTCCGTCCCTGGCCTCTGCCCAGTCTACCCAAGAGCTGGGCCCTTAGAGCAGTCTGAGAATGTGAGCTGTTCTCAGTGCTGGGACTGCCCGTGAGCAGAGCTGGAACCTGAGGCCTTAAAGAGGCTGTTACATGGTAGGGCGGGCCTCGAACCCATAGCAAACTTTTGTGGATGAAGATACGCTTTTACACGAGGTGTTCCTGGATGGGGGAGTCTCCTGGCCTCACTTTCTTCAGGCAAAGACGATAATTCATCCAAATTCCCTTTCATGGCGGTGACATCTTGACCCCCAGAGAGAGTGTGTGTGTGTGTGTGTGTGTGTGTGTGTGTGTGTGTGTGTGTGTACTAAGGGCTTCATTTGCCACAGTTCTTAGTGCAGTGGTCTGGGTATCAAGGGTGCCTAATTAATGTTAGCAATTAAAAACAACCCCAAATCTTAACATCTGGGGAAGACCCTTCCCTTCCCTGGGCCTCAGTTTCCTTATCTGACCTCTAGGGTCCGTTCCAGGTCTCACTCTGTAATCCCGCATGAGCCTGGGCATGGCACTTAACCTCTCTCAGTGCCTGGGTTTCCTTATTTGTAAAACAAAGCGGTTGGACCTGGTGACCTCCCAGGCCCTGTCCAGGTCTCCATCAGTGGTCCCAGGATCTCCCTTGGGAAGCTCCTTTGGGTCAGCCCCGGGGCTGGGTGGAGGGAGGAAGGCACAGCCTTTGGGGAAGGGGTGCCAGAGGCAAGGAGCCCCTGTGGCAGGGAAGAGTGCTGGAGGCCAAAGTTGGAGTGCGTTCTAGAGAGGTCTTTGTCTTTCTTTGTGTCGTTGGTGGTTAGCACAGTGCCTAGGGCCTAGTGGGGGCTTCATGAATATTTGTCAGTGGACTTCGAGGAACTTTGGGTGGGATGAAGACGGAGGGAATCTGGGGGGACCCTGCCACTGTCCTTATCTCCGAGGTGAGGGCCCGATTTCCTGGAAGAGGGAGCTCTGTGCGCCACGGCGATGGGGAGAAGGGTCTCCACTTACGCTGCGTGGAGAGACTGTCTCTCAAATCTCTCTGTGTGTCTGTCTCTCTGATTTCTCTTTCCTTTCTCTTTGTGTCTGTCTGTCTCCTCCTACCCCGGTGTCTTTGTCACGCTCTCTCTCCTTTCTGTCTTTGTCTCTGTCTCTCTCTGATTTCTCTCTGTGCCCACTCTGTCTCTGTTTCTCTGTGTCTCATGTCTCTCTCCTTTGCCTGAGCAGCCATCCTCCTCCTTCTCAGGGGGTGGTTTTCTCTTGTTTGTCCATCCCGTGCTGTTGAGGTTTGGGGTGCTGCTGACCACAGTTCTGGGTCTCGCCAGGGGGTGAGTTTTATGAGTGGGCCGTGTGTCTTGGCCTCAGCCCCCGCAACGTGAGCTGTTCTTGCCCTGGCTTATGAGGGTCTGGGCCTGGGTGGGGGACATGGGGTTCGCGTCCCAGTCTGTGTTGGGGTGGGGGATGGAAGCCAGCAGCCTGAGACCCTGCTGGACAGAGGGAGGGGGCTCCGGGTTGGCCTCTGTCCAGCGCCCCCTGGGCATGGGGAGCCCTGACGTGGACTCTGTCTGTCCTGCCCCCTCCCCATGCAGGTGGTACAAACTGCACTCCAAGGCGGGCAAGAAGGAAAAGGAGCGCGGCGAGATCCAGGTCACCGTCCAGTTCACGCGCAACACCCTGAGCGCCAGCATGTTCGACCTGTCGGTAAAGGACAAGCCACGCTCGCCCTTCGGCAAGATCAAGGACAAGATGAAGGGCAAGAAGAAGTACGAGCTGGAGTCAGCCTCGGCCATCATCCCCAGCAGCGCCCTGGACGACCCCGACCTGCTCGGCGGCTCCAGCAAGAAGGCCAAGGCCAAGGCCTTCTTCCTCCGCAACAAGCTGCGCAAGTCCTCGCTGACGCAGTCCAACACCTCGCTGGGCTCCGACAGCACGCTCTCCTCCACCAGCGGGAGCCTGGCCTGGCTGGGCTCCGAGTACCTGACGCGCTCCCCCAGCCGCCACAGCCGGCTGTCCACCGAAGGTGGTGAGTAGGGCGGGGTGTGGTGTGGTGTGGTGAGGCGTGGTGTGGTGAAGCGTGGCATGGGGAAGCGTGGCATGGCGTGGTGTGGTGAGGCAAGGCATGACAAGGAGTGGAGTGGCATGGCGAGGCGTGGCATGGCGTGGCGAGTCCTGGGTGCAGCCTGCCTCCCACCGTGGGCCCTGGGGAGGAGATAGGGAGTTGTGTAGGGCGCCCTCACAGGGGACACACACAGCCCTGGCCCTTGGGGGACGATGCCCGTGGTCTGACATGGGGGTCAGTGACAGGGAGAAGGCATGGAACACACACTCAGCTCCTGCTCTCAGGGCACCCCAGTCTGATATGGTGGTAGGGGGCTGCTCTTGGAAGATTGGCCAGGGCAGAAGGAAGTGGAGCCCAGAAGTGGTCCTTTCTTCCCTTCTCCTTCCACACGTCCACCAGCACCGTGTCTCTCTCTTCCCCTTCTAGGCAAAGACTCGGCTTCCTCCCCCAAACTGCTGACCCACAAGCGGGCCTACAGTGATGAAGTGAGCCAGGTGCAGGCAGGGCTGCCCCGCGCTGGCCACGACCCTGGCTCTGGGTCTTCCCTCTGCATCAATGGCAGTCACATCTACAACGATGAGCCGTCTGTCCCACAGGCCCACCGCGCCTCCATCTCGGGCCCCTTCCCTTCGGCCAGTGCCCTCCACGGTCTCTCCCTGCGGCGGGCCGAGGAGGGCACGGGGCCGTCGGACACGGCCCCCGGGGGCAGCTCTGAGCCGGTGGCCGCGGCAGGTGTGGGCCGAGAGGAGTCTGGAGCGCGGGCTGGCGAGGAGGAGGGTCCCCGGCGGGCAGAGGGGAAGCCCGTCCAGGTGGCCACGCCCATAGTGTTCCCATCCACGTCAGCAGAGAGAGAAGACGGGAGGAAGGAGGAGCGCAAGACCCGCGTGGGTCTTTTCCACCATCACCACCATGGGGCAGGCCGCAGGGGCTCCCTCGGGGAGAAGATGGGCCTGGCCCTGGGTGCCTCCCTACACCCTTCCTCCAGTGGGGAGGAGAAAGGCAGGAGCGGCTGGTTTGGTTCCCGAGAGGGGAAGGAGCACACCCAGAAGCCCAGGTGAGACCCTGGGGGTGTCGGCCATCCTGGCAGCAGTGGGGAGCGGGCCCCAGGGGTGAGGCTGTGGTCTGGGGGGCCCTGCAGGGTCAGGGCAGGCCCCATGTGACGCCCAGCACCCAGCTCTGGGCCACCTCTCTCTCCAGAAGTCCCAGCACCTTCTCCCTGGACAGGCCGGCTTGTGCTGGAGGCATGGTCTGGTCTTGGGTTCAAATCCTAGCTCTTCTGCTTACTGCCTGAGTGACCTTGGGCTAATCCCTTCCTTCCCCTCCTGAGTTCTCAGTTTTCTCCTCTGTAAAATTGAGGGGGACTAGATCTCTAAGGTCCTTTCCGGCCCTCCCCTTAGCCTGTGCCCCAGAAGCCAGGGAGAGAAGGCAGGAGCCGAGGGGAGTTGTTGATTTCTGAGGGCGCTAGAATGCGATGTCGATTTGCCCCCTTGCCCATGTCCTCCCTCGGAGTCTGGGCACTCACCCCCCTCCCAATGCTAACAGCTTTAGGCGATCCAGACAGCGTAGAGCAGCATGCCCCGCCTGCCTCTGTGCCCCCTCACCTTTCTGTAGAGGCCAGATAGGAGCCCCGCATGGCAGAGGGGTGGGGGCCTGGTCCCATTTACTCATCAGCCCTGCCTGGGGTCCCACCCCAGGATCTGGAGGTTGGGGTAGAGCTGTGGGGAGGGCTCTCTGTGCAGGAAGCAGCTGATAACATTGTTTGCCTAGCTGGTTTTCCCAAGGCCCTCCTGGGAAGCCGCCCTACAATTTTCCTTGTCTCTGCCCTGGGCCTGGTCCCACTGCAGCCTCCCCGACCCCCCAGCAGAGGAAGTATGTGCTGCCCATCAGGACAGGTCCCAGTTAGGGCTCCAGGGCCACCTCACTAACTGCCGGAAGGGCTGGGCCTGAACCTGGGTGCCTGAAGTCTGCAAACAGCCCAAAGTGGGGACACTGGCTTCCTGCTCCCTGGCTGCTTGGCCCGTGTCCCTGCCGTCAGTGTCTCTACTGCTGCCTACCGTGTGTGTGTGTGTGTGTGTGTGTGTGTGTGTGTGTGTG